TATAATGATGTACACAAAGACTGTCAAAAACCACATGGCTCTATAAATTATTATTATGAGCATTTTAATTGTAATATTATTGAATTTTACTAGATAAATTGATAGTTATGATATTCTAAAATAAATAAATAATGTATATATTTATTAGCATTCTATTGATTGATGTATTTCATACATGTTATTGAATTTCATAGAGCAAATGATGTGATTCAGATAAGATAAATGTGGCATTTGCATGTAAGTAATAAATATTAGGTGTTAATAATATAATTAATATGAGTTGGCAGAGAGTGCAACTCTTAATGATTATTAAGGCCACATTTGAATTGATTTATGAATAATGATGGTAAGATAAAGATTGATGACTAACTGATCGACTGTTACGGTTAGTTAAAAACTGATGACTAACTAGTCGACAATTGGGTTGAAGATGCTAAAAATATCATATTAAAGTTAGATGTCCTACATTACTATTTATAGTTGCCTTCATGATAATTTTACTAAATTGTACATTAATTGATTAATAAATAGAACTAGCATTAAAATATATAAAATATGATATAACATATAACAAGTACATTTTAAGATAATTATAGACACATTGATCTAGTATTTTGATATGCCCACATGACATATCTTATGTGACAGTTGACATTACTTTTATGGACTTTAATTGATTTCCTTATATATTGATAGATTCTTATGTTTCTAGATATTCTTTTATTTTACTAATTATATTGATTTCTATTGATATTTGATATTAATTGATTATTCCATACCAATGATCACTAATTTTATACTGATTGAGATGAGCATCTATATTAATATTATTGTTTGCATTGAAAGCTTTTATTGTTTTGGTTGCCTGCTGGGCTTTGCAAGCTTATTATGTGAATTTGATTGATTTTAGATTCATGAAGGAGACAAGATGATTAAGATTGAATAGAGTCATATTTGTAGGTTTAATTTATTATATTGTATTATGTGTTATTCTTTCGAAACAAAAAGAGTTCTAATAGATGGATGTTATATATTGAACTTCTAGATATTGTATATAGATTTCAATTGGTGATGTATAAATGTAGGTGATATGATATAGAGATGTTTTTGCTATTTTAAATTAATGTAAAATGAAACTAGTTGCTTTGGTAGAATAATTAGAAGATAAAAAGATAAAATTATGTTAATTTAGATTCTACGGTGCACAGGTGGCATCTGATGGAGGGTGATGATAACCAGAGTTGGTAATACGGCTGTAGTAGTGATAATGGTAGGCGTGTGCGGTGGTGGTGACCGATGGTGGGGATCGATGACGGTTGATGGTTAGCGATAGTGGCAACGACAGCTGTAGTTGGTGGCGACGACATTTATGATTGGTGGTGGCGGTAGCGATCGTGGGTGGTGGTCGACGACGACGGACAAATGACAAATGATTAATTTATGAAGTATTTGAAATTTGCTTAATTCTAACAAATTTTAAATAAATAAAAAAGAATTAGATTATGAATTTTAAATGCATCAAAACTTTACATATTATTTATTTACTTCGGACCAAACATCATAACCTCAGAACTCTCACATTTGAAATAGATTAGACCCCATTCTTCCTTCAAACTTAATAGTCCAAAGCATTTCCATTTCTCATAGTGTAAGGTTATTTCCGTCATTCATTTAATCCCCCGCCAAAACCCCCTCGCATTCGCGCCCATAAATATCGGAACGTCTAGATCAGAGCAATGTACGGGGTAGCAGCAAAATGGCTTCTTCTACTTCCAAATCCCTAGCAGAAATCCTACAGCCGGTTAAGCGTCTCCGATCTCTCTCACCGTCACGCGAAACCCTAGCCCCTAGATCATGCATCTCAATTCGCAGTGATCCCTCTGTTGGCTCTGGCGTCTCAGGCGAGTTTAAACTAGAATCACCTTCCAACCTCACCGTGGAGCAGCGAAGCAGAATGGAGTTCAACAAGTATTTGGCAAGATCGAAGAGGAACGCCAGGCTCTGCATCGAGAGAATTGAGAACGCAAAAGGTTAGGTCGCTTTATTGCATTCTTCCACTTCGATATATATTTTTCAGCGATTCCGAATATGCCACCGGTGTTTTTGAATGTAGCCAAAGGAATCGAATATGCGAAGTTGGAGGAGCTTCTAGTGGAGGAAACGTGGCTGGAAGCTCTTCCAGGGGAGCTTCAAAATCCCCATTGGAAGAATCTTTGCAGGTTCGTGGAGAGTGAGCTGAGGGGTGTTGTTCCCATATATCCTCCGCCACACCTTATATTCAATGCCCTAAACTCCACTCCGTTTGATCGGGTGAAGGCTGTGATCATTGGTCAGGTATAACAATTAACTTAGAAGATCCCTAGCTTCAACCACCATGTTTTTGTATGGCTAGCTTAGAGGCCAATTTTTCAGATGCTAGTACAGAGGAATGCTTTGGAAAATATGATGTGACCAAAAGCAACTACAATAACAACATCAAGCCTTTATCCCACTATGTGTGGTCGGCTAAATGCATTCTTTTTCTTCACTGTGCCCTGTTAAGAGTCAAAATATGATGTGACCAATAATCATAAATTTTTCATGAAGCTGCTTCATTTCTTTTGTTAGGTTTTGTGTGAATATGTGACTACCAATTTCAGAATGGTGTAAGATGTTTTGGTTGGGTTTGGTGGTCTAGGGGTTCGTGTAGGAGCCATGTGCTATACTTGTTGGATGGGGAGATTATTCCCCAAAATTCTCTTGGTAAATCCTTAGTAATTTGGAGAAGATTTGATTAAAGTTAGTTATGATATACAAACCTTACTAGAGGTATATTTTTTGGGTAAATTTTAGGCAAGTTTTATTTAATTTACCTAGATTTGGGTCAATTCTTAACAAATTTTGAAGAAAAATGATTAAACTATTTTCCAAACTCAAGCCAAATAAATACAAATTATTATCACACCTGCCCTTAATCATCTATAATAATTAACTTCTCGTCTATGAAGTCTGAAGACGGACAAGTAGACATGAAAATGACTTGAAATTGGCATGACAACACAACATATCTATAAATAACATGTCATGGATATATTGTTATGTTATATAAATTATTAATATAAAATAAATAATTTCAAGTATTTTTCTATTAAGGGCGTCCCGGGGTTAAGTATAATATCATATACTTATGTTCACAAAAAAAAAAAGAATTATTGATAGAAATAATCAAAATAAGAACAAATTACAAATTCAAAAGTGTTAATAATAATTGCTAATCAAATTAAACTTCTTGATTATAGGTCATTTTTATATAATCCTTATAACAGTTAATGAAAATGTTCTCAATGTAAACAAAATCCATGCAAATGCAAGTCTTAATTACAAATTCAAAATTTTAACCTACTATTTGGATTAATACTATAACATGATGCTAATCAAAATAATACAAAATTGAGGATTTTCATCTACATATTGTGCTCGAGATAGAAGGATCGAACTAGTTAACTATTAGCTATCTAACTAAGAAGTTCGAGTTCTCATTATTTTTGTGTGAAAAAAGTTTGTCCAAGATTCCTAAGTTTAATTAATTCATAATGCAAGATAGATCTTCCAATTTTGCAAGGAAATATTTTTATCTTTTGAAAAAATACTTATATCTATATTATTTTTATTGTTGAAATAAGCTGTTGTCTTACAATTTGATGATTAAAAAAAATAAATTTTAGTTTAAGAATTAAGAAGTTTTTTTTTAATCAAAATATAAGTTTAGCTTTTCATATGCTCATCCAAATATATTTCATGCGAAGGATTATAAAATTATAATGTCATGTATGATATATTCATTTAACTTGTTCCCATTTATTGCATGAGAAAAATGGTTTTCCTTTTCCACTTGTATCTCTCGTATGTCTTAGTCATGTTGGTGCGTGCCCGGGTTGTGTTGGAACCAAATTTTTTGATGGAATGCTTTTGAAATAATATTGAAAATGTCGAAGACGTGTCTATGTTCAATGCATGTTCAACACTGATATTTGTTGTTTTTAGACATTTCAATGTTTTATAGCTTCTTGCTCCACACAATCATCAATCTCACATGTTACAAAACTAATATTCATGTGAAATGCATTGAAAATAACTTGGAAATGTCAGCATGCGTCAGAGCTATATCTATGTTTAACATGTGTTCGACATAGACACATAAGGCAATTAGAAGTGCGGATGCTTTATAGCTTCTTGCCCTACACAGTCAGTAATCTCACAGATTGCAAACAAAGGCTGGATTGAGATGGGCCTCTTATTTTCTTATTTGTGATGACACATTTGGCTTTCTTGATGATGACAAGTGTGTGATGTCACAAATGAGCATTGTTCTGTGATAAGTTAAGGTTGATTGGAGGAGGCTATGATAGTTATAGAGGATACAAGCTTGAAGTGGCTTGAGTTCCAGTGGCCGAAGTCCTTGGCTGACTTTGAGGGTTGCTAGTTGTGATGCACATTTGTAGGTTGGATGATGTGAAAAATTGTTGGTGAGAACTTGGAATTTGGAGCAAAGGCGAGGTTCTTGTTCTAGCAAGCAATATAGATTGACAATGGACAATGCAAGCTAGTGAACATGTAGTGGAGAAAGTGGTTGACTTCAGTGGCTAGTTTGGCTAGTGATAGAAGTGGTGAGGATATTTTTGTGACTATTAATGTTCACAGGGAGTAACATAATAGTGAAGGTGATATATTAATAATAATTAATAATAATTTATGTGTATTCTATTGTGTTTCACTCTTTTTATGGCTGACTATTTTTGGATTAATGAGAGAAAAATCAAGAAAAAATATTACCGAGAGAAGGGTAGAATAGGGATTTAAGTAAGAGAAAAAAGAGAAGACATTACAGAAATTACTTGAGGGTAATTATATGTTCTATCAATCTCTGATTAGTTGAAATATTATTCTTTCTATGCAACTATGGATGTAAGTGAGCATTGTTAGACCCTACAAAGTATTATCTTTATTTATTTATTTTTTTTTTCTTGTAACACTTTTATTTCTCATTCTCTTATTCGTTATTGCTCTCATACGCGTTCTTTTCACTAATCAGAGTTTGGCTTTGAAACCTTAATGGAGAAGTGGAAGTAATTGCATCTAATGACGGACAAACAAAAATTTATATGTCCAATGTCAAGAATGTTTCGGTCCTAGAACGTGTGGATCAATGGTTGCCTATATAGAAAAAGTTATATCTATCTTCTTTAAGATGAAACTTGTTACCATGAGTAACGATAACTGGGATGTCTTAGGCAAACAAACATTAAGAGTTGTATATCTTTTACAGATAAAGAATATTGTCTTAGACATATTGTAAGAGTGGATCATAAAATGGAGCAATGAAAGCTTTGTTTGATACATATGAGAGGCCTTAGATCGTGAATAAGTTTTATTTAATGAGAAATTGTTTTTAATCTGAGGATGGTGGAAGTGAATTCAACATCATAGCATATCGACAAGTTTAACTTGATTACAAGTTAGTTGAGTTCGTTTAATATTAACTTTAACATTGAAGTTTTTTCCTTGAACTTATTATTATCACTTTTGGAGAGCTGTTTTGGAGTTGAAATACCAATCATGAGGTTGTGTGTGGCTTCAAAATTGAAATTCAGTATATGTGATTTGATTTTAGGCGAGTACATTAAAAAAATTGAATTATGTGAATGCTATTATTTTGTTGCTATGAATCTTACGAGCAAAGAGAGAGATGCAAGGAGGGGATCCAAATCTCAGAGGAGATGCTAATTCAAAGTTCGCAGTGGTGTGTGCTTGTGATTTGGCAAGATTGTTCTCATCAAAAGAGATTGCTCATAGGGAAATGATTGTGATGCATGACTAAAATGTTTTTAAATGTATGCGATGCGAAATTGTACGATTTCTTGAATCAAGCAAGTAAGATTAAAACTGTTAGCAATCAAAACGATAATAGAAAACAAGAGAGTGGTGCCTACATTTGGGCTAAGCCCCTTGCCAAGCATTTGGAAAATTAAAATAAGTTAGAAATTCAACAACATGCAAAGTAAATAGTTTTCAACAAATCCCTAATATAACAATAAGATTAGAAGCATAGAAGACACACTCAATCCTACATTTACTAAGCTTAAGGCATAAGGCGAAGCACGAGTGCACGACTCCTTGTGATTCTTCACCACCTACAAGATTAGGGGATTGGGAAGTTAATTGAAGGGGGAGAATGTTTACCTTTGCAAAACCCGAAAACAAGTAGTTGAGAGGTTGAAGACGTTCATCGTAGCTTCCTTTGAAGGTTCAATTGGAGAGAAGGAAATTTCTCCCACACGTTGAAGTGTTGAAGGTAATGATCCTTGGCTCGCCTTGAAGAATCCCTTGAGAGAAAGAAGTTTCTCTCAATAATTCAAGTGGTGGGAAGGATGAGAGGTGGCCGGCCAATGAAAGAAACTTGGAAAAGAATTATGTTCATATTTTCATTATTAGGTTTAAAGTTTGGAGTGGGAAAATTAGGTGGGAAGGCTGAAATTTCTTTCCAAATCAAAGGACAAATCAAAGTCCTTTGATTTTCAAGAATTTAAATAGCCTAAAGGGGGAAGAGAGGGGGCGGGTAAGGCTAGGTTGAATTTGGATTTAATTCCAAAGAAAGAGGCTTAATTTTGGTAAGGGAATTAAGTGGATGGGCCCTTGGGAGTTTCGGCTGATTGATTTATGAGTTAAGGCTTTAATTAATCAATCCATCATGATTTGATTGATTGATTTAAATAAGAACATTTTCCCAAAATATGATTAAGAGAAAAGGAAAGATTTGAAATTTAAAATTGATTTATTTCAAATTCAAATATATTATGAATTGGAAAGTCTCCTAAAATAGGGTGGCTATGTTAGGTAACTATTTCAAATTCAAAAAATTTGAATTTGTTCCGTCATGGAGTTACCCAAAATGGGTAGAGCTAATTTAGGAAAGGATGGATGACACATGGAAGATGAAGGGGACCAAAGGGAAGGCAGTCGGCATGGGCTTGGTCGTGAGTGGAGGTGGAGGGAGATGGGGAGGTGAGATAGGGCCGGTGACTATGTTGGTTTTGGGGAGTTTTCTGTGGAGGGATGGTGGGGATGAAGGTGGCCGACGGCTTGGAGTGAGGTGGGGTTAGGTGGCCGGTTGGTTAGGTGATGAGGAGAAAGGAAAATAGATAATGAAGAAAACCACGAACTCGGCCGTCTCTAAGGTTGGTGGGTGATCCAAATTCCCTCTCCAAGGGACCTCGCTCCAATCTCTCAAACTCTCATAAGAACTCAAACAAGGAGAATAAGTTTTATCATTCAATCATTCATTAACTTTCAAAGAGAAACATAGGGGCTATAAATAGCCTTGTACATAGGACTCAAATTAAGAAAGACGACAATGCCCTCAAGGCTTACATACGACATTCCTTAAGGGATAAAAACGGGAAAAAATAAATACAACATAAATAACAAGAGACAAATAACATAATAAAAATAAATACATGAAATGTTTCAAAAATACATCGACTCGATCGTGTCCGTAGATTGACGGCCACGCATCTAATACACTTTTCATGCTCTGATTGTAACACCCCACAATACCACTAAACAGTACGGTGGAGTGTAACGTGCATAACATAAACATTTTTCCTTTTAAAAATATTTAATGCAATTTCTCTTCTTAGAAGATCATATAAAACATCCAACCATAATTTAATTCATATAATAATGGAAGCAACTTTCGAATTAAAACCTCAATAACATACTTACAGAGCCACTAAGGAAAAGTAATTAAAATCCATTTATGAGATGTTTTCATACCTTACCAGAAAAAAAAAAAAAAAAAAAAAAACCTTTAACATAAAAAGAAGAAATAACTTGCATAAATTAATTTGCAACAATCTTCTCCTTGCCCTTTCCTGTAACAACAGCCAGTAAGAAAATACTGGTGAGCTATGAGACTCAGTAAGCTTTACAAATTAATTAACATTTAAAGTATAAATAATGGAGAATAATCTAGCATTGAAATCATCATAAATTTATAATTAATTTTAATATTTACTTCTTCTGAATTCAATAATGAATATTAATTTTAATCTATAAAACATTTGGCTACACTTTCATAATATTATTCAATAGAGCCCAGGTAAATCTGGCATTCTCACCATTGAATTATATAGAGGTTGCTTTTACCTCTTTAGGGGTCCCTTTTGCCCCACCTGCTATGCAGGTATCATATTCTTTGGGGTTCCTTTTACCCCTCATGTAATACATGTATATTATCTGGGGTCCCTTTTGCCCCACCTGTATTTACAGTTATACATCATTTGTAGCCGAACTTTACTTTTCAATTGATATTCATAAAACTTTTCAGTGTTCATAAGTCATACTTAAGTTGTTGCATTTTTTCATAATCATTGCTGTGATCACCAGTGTACAATTAAAATGCATCCCATATGCAAGTAAATTGACATCTTTCCAAAACAGTATTAAATAGGAAAACATTTAGATTAACATACTAAACCTTGTTTTACACTTACCTAGTTTCATTATGTATCTGATTGTTCATACCTGGAAACTTGAATTAAAAATCATTTCTATACATTAAAGAAAATTAATAACCTTTTACTTTAATGCATTCAAAATTTACCTTCATGCTTCTAAATGAAATTTCTTAAATTTGAATATAAATGCATTACTTACATTCTTGCTGAGGTGTTTCCAATTCTCTACTTCGACGTCTTCTACGATTGTAAGTCACTTCGAAGCTTTCTCTTGATATATGACCAAATTTATCTAAGACACCATAAATTATAATATCTTTATGAACTTTTACTACTAATTGAAATTCCACACTAGGCACATACAAAATATGATGTGAAACTCCTAGGAGTTACATTCAAAATTAAAAAGAGAGTCGTAAAGTTTGCTTTTATAATTTTATGGGATCATGCAAGATAGAATTAAGATTTAAAAACGTTAACTTTGCTTAGGCAAAAAAGAGTTGCAAACAAGATTAACCAAAACGAATCTTTCAAAGTTCTAGGCGAATTTCATATGCAAAGTACCATAACAAAACCCAACGTTTAACAACGAGAATTTCACCTTGGGGCCATGTCACTCAAAGATTGGTGGACTTTTGGCGGAGATAGAAGATCCAAGCGATGACGGAAGTTACCACTAGAGAAAGGGCGCCAAGGAACTTCGTCGGAGGAAAAGTAGCCGGCGGGGATGGAAGACGTAGGTGACCGTCAAGGCTCCACGTGTGCTTTGAGAATTGTCGGTCGTAGATGCTCGCAAGGATCGGAATGACTCTCTCCAAGTACTCTTCCACGGTTGTCTCGTCTTCAAATCCTACGTCGAAACAAGGTGAACGTAGAATGTTGATGCTCCCGTCGGCGTTGAACACAAGACCCCACTCAAGCTCCGGATCCGCCA